GATCCAACTTTTTCATTTTTCCTCAGTAAATATGTTGTCTTAACATCAACATCTGTTCTCACAAACATGTGTAATCTGTAATTCAAAGAAGACCCATTAAAGGCATAAACCTTTAGATTGAGGCTGAATATTAACTTTGGAAACAAAATACACACACACACACATACACACACACACACACAGTTATGTGTTGTAGTCAGAAATGACCGGCCTGTGGGTTAGAGAGGCTGTAAAACCCAAGGGAGGTGACTGCCCATCGTCCTACTTTGAAGCAACTGGTTGATTAGGCTGCGTGGCTGCTGTGTGGCCGGCTGCGCGCCTGCAAAAGATGGACAATCTCCTCCCATGTCATTTACAGCCTCTGAAAACCCACTGGAAGGTCACCTATGAGTTGGTTCCAACCTAATGGTACATATAACAACTTTTCTGTACCTACACGCACACACATCTGCACACACTCTTTACAGAAGATTTCAGAAAGAATAAACCTTTGGACTGAGGTTGAATATTCATTTTCTTTTGATTGAGGGTGTCAGAGATCCAAGTCACGCCCAAACTTTTTGGTAAACAAGGGTAGACCTGAAATGGATCCTTATTTTCATTTCCTCACGAGTTCAGAGCTTTGGAAAAGAATTAACTGAGAGGAAAAAGGCAGTTTCATTTGGGGGCAATAGCTGGATAGTAACTCGTCTTTGCTATTATGGAAATATTCAGGTGCATCGTACAGTCAGAACTCCAAAACACTTCTGATGCAAGAACGAACATCATTCAGGGCCCGTGAAAGGCACACGGCCATAGAGTTCCTACACAACAGATCTCCAAAGCTCATATTAACGTAGCAGGTCCTTCTCAGGGTCTACCATGCTCTCCTGTCTCAGAACCACAAAAGAGCAAGGGGCATCGCATTTCACTGGAGGAGTCACGATACTGTATTTAAGAACGAGTAAGCGCCACAGCACAGAGCAGTTGGAGTCCACAGCAATTCAAGTTTAAGATACTGATACAAGCAGATGTATCCACATCCATGTTTATTGCGGCTTTGTTCGCAATAGCAAGGAGTTGGAAACAACCTAAGTGCCCATCAACAAATGAATGGATAGAGGAACTGTGGTATATTCACACAATGGAATATTATGCTGCATTGAAAAACAAAGAACTCATGCAATATTGTACAAAATGGGTGACCCTGGAGGACATTATGCTGAGTGAAATATCTCAGTCACAAAAGGACAAATATTGCATAGGCCCACTGTTGTAAAAAGGGACTGACATCGGGGTTGAAGGAAGACAGAGAAAGAAGGGAAGAATGATGTAGACTCCATTGAAACATATGAGGGAGAAAACTGTTTAAAAGTGATATATGAATGAGTATTATTGTCATGAAAGGAGTCCAGAATGAAGGCCACACAGTAGAGTGGACTTGGGGGGAGGGATTGCATAACAATGAAAGAGTTTTTCTTTTACTTTTCAAGGAGAAGAGAGAATGAGGGGGAGAGGGTGGGCAAGGAGAAAAGTGCAACAATGAATCACTGGAAACCCTAAGTCTCTGTAAACTTTCATTAAAATTAATAAAAAAATAATAATAAATGTGATAACTTAATAGCTTGGTCTCCACTTTAATAGTCATTTTGCAAAGAAACTGTGGAGATGAGCCCATTACCATGTGTGTAACCTCCATAGCAGATGGCTGGCCCTTTATTTACCTGCAACAGCACACAAGGAGCATCAGTCTTTAATTTTCAGGTGTCACAATTAAATTCACCCGAAAGCTGGTGGACAGGCCCACCCTTGACAGTAATACAGCCCCCCGCTGGCCTCATATCACTAGGATAGGGAGCCCTAGGCACGCCTCACATAAGCAAATAGAAATACAAGTTAATGAGAATGCAGTGCCTAGAAACATGCCCTGTGTTTCCTTTCAACAAAAATAGAACGATAGTTGGCTCTTTTAAAAAAAGGAGGCAGAGAAAAAAAGGATACAGAATACTTGAATAGAAAAAATGGTTGATTTTAAGCATCAACTTTCCTCTAGTTAAATGAGTAAGTCCCTTGCGGGTTGTGGGTCATTAGACCTGACTGTAGATTGCCTGATTTACAGTTTAACAAGCTCTGCTCGCTCTCCTAGCAAAACCACCACCTGATAAGGCCCCTCAGAGTGCAGAGCTGTGCAGTAATATTCTATTTAAACCATAAACAAATACAACGTTCCCTACTCCGTTCAGAATTAACACATCTCTGTTGACGTGACCTAACACTTGTCAATAAAGCAGTGACACTGAATGGTGAAGCAATTGAAGTGACTACATAGACAATGATTCTATAGACAGTGGTAAAAGAGTCTACTGAATAGATATCTTTTTTCCTTTT